TAATAATAATAATAATAATAATAATAAATTATCCCGATTTATTCGGTATGAAAATAACGATTATTCGAAGATTACCAATAATGCCCACAGAAAATGACCAAAGAAGACCGATTCCTATCTCTCCTGATAATACTTTTAATCACTTATCATAATTACTTTATTTGTTTAAAACTTTGAAAAAAATAAACTCTAAATATTTTTGAAGTTTATGTAATAAAATCTTCATAATTTACAATTTATTGTTTTTGCTAATTAATATAATTAATCGAAAATGATGTCTGCCACAGCACTATTATGTTACGTTTTTCGAAGTTTCTCTGTATATTTATTAAAATATTTACAAACATATTTTAATAAATTTTTTGTTACTAATTTTTTTGGTTAAGAAAGTTTAATTGTCGAAAAACAAGGCGGAACAGTATTAGCGACGAACGAATCGTTGATTCTTCTGAAAGTTTAACACAGTTCATGTGGCCAAGGTTAGATGTTTTCTTGTTCTGCATTATTATCATGAATAATAAATACTATTGTAATAACACTTTATTAATATTTTTTTGTTGAACGCAAAAATCAAGCCAAAATAGACGTCAGTTACATTATGACAAAATAATTTTGCATAAACATATTCAAATGTTTGTAATTAAAGTAGTTACGAGATTTGATGATAAACAATAATAAATGCTCAAAAATAAAATTGAAAAATAAAGTCTTAATATTATTCAATTTGTCATATTCAAAATATTACTTTGAAAATTTTTTATTTATAAATTTTCAAATTTTGAAAATATATATGAACTGAAAATAAAATTTGGGACTTCAGTGTAATACAGTCTTCTTAATTTATAATTAATTATTTTTTGTAATTGATATTTTCGGTCAAAAATTATGTCTATCGCAATACTAAATATATTGTACTATGTTTTTTGTAATCTTACTGCAATTACAAGAAAGAAACAAATCATTTATAGACTAAATAATTAATTATTAAATTTTGAAAGCTTAAAAAAACATATAAAAAATAATTAAAAAATATATTAAAAAAAACTATTCACGTCTAAAAGTTTCAGATGGATGATTTGCTGTCCAAAGTCAATTTTTGAAAGACAAGAAAATTTACGTAGAATGCGTCAAAATTCGGCTAGTAACTTAGATCCTTACCGTCGACCACCACTGCCTTCAATGAATCCTTCCCAAATTAATGGTTTTTTCAAGTTTTTATAATTCATCGAGTAAATGTTAGTTTATTCATAAACAAATGGTTAATGCAAAAAAACAATAATGCATTTGTGTGTATAGAACTAAATTGCACAAGAAAGATCTAACACCAATTTTTCTTCTTCTCGTTGTTTAGAACCGTTGCGTGAAGCAGAATCATCAAGTTTGAATGCATTGGTGGAAAAATTAGAAAACACGTCAATGTTAAAAAATGGACATGACTTGAATGATCCTAAATTATTCGGGATAAATATAACGAGTATTCGAGGATTACAAGCAGTGCCCTTAGAAAATGAGCGAAGAAGACCGCTGCCCATCCCTTCTGATAATACTTTTAATCACTTATCATAAATACTGTATCTGTTCAAAACTCCAAGAAAAAATAAAATTCAGTTATTTCTGAAGTTCGTTTAAAAGCAGTTTTCAAAAGTGAATGCAATTTTGATAACATATTGAAAATATAATTTACATTACATCATAAATGGAAAAATTAATGTGCAGAAAGTTTGGAAAGAAGGAAAAACTTATAAATAAATGTTTATCCTCAAAGTTATAAATAACTGAGGAGTGATTACTTCGCTAGTTTTACGTATAAAAAACGTAAAACTGTTCTAGCGTAGTAATCACTTCTCAAGAATACTGTAGGTTAAAAAGTAACTGAATAAAATTTTTCTTTTTTAAATTAAAAATTAGTTTAAATAAGGGTTTTCAACCTTTACTTAATAAATCATTATTTTGCATATTTTAAATTTTTGCTTTAATTTGGCAACATAATTAATTATAGCATTAAATTAATTAGTAATGTAAAATAAACTCGAAAAGGTTGTACTTTCTCACATTGTATAACTTTAAATTTTGTGGAAACATTTTAAAACTTTATCACTTTTGAACAAAACTTTGATTTTAATGATTTGTACAAATAAAGTAAGAACTTTCTGAGACCAAATTATGTGGAAGACCACTTCTGCTTTGAAATTAAACAATATTTTTGTGCAAAAAATGATTATTTATTTATTTTTGATACATATTTGTAACACAAATCATTTTCTGAAGCTTTTGATCAGTTAATCACGAACTTACTGATAAGATATGCTATACTTTTAGCTGTAAAATGTTTATCCATTCAGGCTGTACTGATTTTCTGTGATGACTGCAAGAAATTGAATTAATTCTAATCACTCAGTAGGAAATGGGCTAAAATTTCATGTTAAAAAGTCTCAAAAAGATTCATATCATCCAAAAAATTGTTAATGTAATATCGTAGATGCTATTATTGAAAATAAATGTAAATAAATCTGCGAAAAATTCAAAATATTCGCATTTAAAAAAACGAGATTGACTGATATCATTTGAAGTAACTACACGTTGATCTGTGTAAATCATTGCGTCTATTTCAATTTAAAATATAATCCATTCAGCAAAAATTTATTTCACAGACAAATTGTTGTTCTGATTTATTTGTGGTATTGAAATTAGGAAGTTAGGGTTAATGCTTGTAAAATAAGTAAGTACAATCCCTCAAGTGAAATTCAAAGTAGTATTAAAATCATACAACTTTAATTCTTTCGATATTGTTGTGTATAGTTGCCGGATATTTTGTTGACTGAAAACTTGTTTCTAATAAGTGTTGCTCTGTTATGCTTAATTTTGCTCAGTAATTATTAGACAAAACTGAATACTTGTTTGCGCATATTTTAAGTATTTATATATTATTTCAATTAATCTTTTTCAAGTATATCACCATTTTTTTTACTGTACAATTTGACGTTAAGATGATTTTACAAAACTAAAAACAAATTATTTTACAACATTTCACTTTATGTATATATATATATAT